AGATCTGAAGGTTGTATAATAATTTTCATGCCTGTGCTTGTACAGACTACCATTGGCTGCAGTTCTGATTTTAAGTTGATTTGCTGGTTTTCATGTTAAAGTTGACATTTATATGCAGTTGTATTAATAACATAGAATTTTAGTAGATAAATGATCCCTTTCTTACTCCAAAGCAAAAAAATCTCAAAAACTTCGACTTCCTCCATAAGAAGAGTATAGCAGTTCCCAAATCATGCAGAAATGTCTAGAAATGATCAAATGTAAAATTTAACGCTGTATTCTAGAACATTTTATCAAAACAAAACAAAAAAGTGTGTTACGCGGTGGAAACTGAAGGCATTTTAAGATGAGAAACTGTGGGAGATTGTTTTAATTCACGTCTATTTGGACAAGATGAAAATTTTCTGAGCATTGTGGATGGATCACGATGCTGTGAAATTCTTAACAATGATGTGTAAAGAGGAACAATATCCTAGTAGAATGTTCCTCTTACCTTAACAAGTTCCCCTCTATCTTTATAAGCAGTCCCTCCCTGTTACACCCAAGTCCTGGCCGCCACAGATGTGTTTTCTTTCCCTGTAGATTGGCCGTTTTTAGAATGCCGTATGAATGGAATCATGCAGTGGGTGGCCTCTTGAGTCAGACTTCTTTTACTTAGCACAGTGCATTTGAGAGTCATCTATGTCCTTGTTTGTTTCAGTAGTTAATTCTATTTCATTGGTGAGTCATTTTCCATTGTTTGGATATTATCATAGTTTTGTTTATCCACTCATCAGTTGAAGGATATTTGGATTGTTTTAAGTTTTTGTCAATTACGATGAAAGCCTCCCTAAACACTCTCATATAGATTTTTATGTGAATATATTTTCATTGCTCTTGGGTGAATACCTAGAACTAAAGGATTGCTGGATCTGCATTTACCTTTGTAAGAAACTGCCAGACTTTTCCAGAGTGGCTGTAATATTGTGCTGGAATAGACTTTTTTTTTTTTTTTTTTTTTAAAGTTGGAGTCTCACTCTGTTTCCCAGGTCGGAGTGCAGTGGCACGGTTTTGGTTCACTGCAGCGTCCACCCCCTGAGTTCAAGCGATTCTCCTGCCTTAGCCTCCTGAGTAGCTGGGATTACTCGCCACCTTGCCTGGCTTATTGTTGCATTTTTAGTAGAGATGGGGTTTCACCATGTTGGCCAGGCTGGTCTCAAACTCCTGACCTTGGGTGATATGCACCCCCCACCTTGGCCTTCCAAAGTGCTGGGATTACAGACATGAGCCACCGCACCCGTCCTGTTTTTTCAAAATTGGATCTCTTCTTTGACTCCTATGTTTTTACCATGGAAATAGACAAATCAGTCATACTTGCTTTTTGCAAACAATACTGCTGTCTGTGGTGGAGCCAACAAACTCCTCTTTTCCATGTTCAGGTAATGTATTCTTTGGGAGAGCACTGAATCATATGTCATTCATATTTTAAAGTGACTTTATTATTTAATGTCAAGATGTACCCTTGATCTGAAGTAGTTTTATTTAATAAAGCAGCTACAGATCAAGAGCACTTGGTGTAGAGGAGTGCACTGACAAGTGGCGGAGCCTGCCTTCTCTGGGCCAGTCTTCCTCTCGGAGCTGTGCGGCTTTCAGCTTTCTATTCATTGCTTCTGGTCTCACCCAAGACTCATGAATCCTCAGAGACCTGTTTCTTAGGTGAGCAGAGGAGCGTTTGTAATCATCTCTGTGACTTTTTTTTGTGCTAAAATACCCATTTTACTTTTGAGATGGGGGTCTCACTGTTTTGCCCTGGCTGGTCTCGAACCCCTGAACTCGAGCAATCATCCTGCCTCAGTCTCTTTGTTAGCTGGGATTACAGGTGTGTGCCACTGTGCGTGGCTATCAGAAGCAACACTTTTTAAAGAGGCGAAGGGGAGCACAGTGGAACAGTGGTATTGTGACAGTTAGTTACCTGGAAAACTTCGAACTCCTCTTCTTAAACTTACCTTTTCCTGAATGTCCTACACTAGGTAGCCTCAGTTTCCTTTCCATGTAATGTTTACATAGTTATTTGTTATTATTGTCCTCAGCGGGTAAGACTATATTAACAGTTTCTGTGAGAGAAGAAAGGGTGATGACATGATTGGTGTGGAGCCAGTTGTTTCTTCAGACAAATAGGACTTTTGAGAAATCAGAAAAGAATTAAAAAAAAAAAAAAAGTCATCTTCCCTAGTGTGTTTTTCTTAGCTTTGAACTTGTTAGTTTACCTAATTACATAGATCCTTCAAAATAAGTTTCCTCTAACACAAGAATTCATTTTAAGCTAAAAGACAAAGCTATGTGGTTAGATTTGAGTATACCTAATCTTATATTCTTTCTCTTTCTTTTATTTATCCTTCCCTTCCAATTTGATAATCAAAATAGTACTATAGTATTTAATTTGAACTTTGAAAGGTTTTTAATATGCACTATGATCAATGTCTTTGGTCGTAACCACTATTTCAGTGTTTTAAAACCCCCATCTTTTTTGGTAGAAGTATTTTAGGATAAGAATTTTTTTCATCTGTTAATTTTTTGACATTTGGACCTAAGTGACAGAGTTGAGGGCAGGGACGTTTAGACAGGGAACAGGACAGTAGAAAGAAAACCAGTGACACACAGTCAAGATGATACGTATGAACAGCTATGTGGTGGCTGTAATAGAAATTTAATTTGCTGATGATCTAAAAATGTATTTTTTTTTTTTAAAAAACTTCTCATTCTTAGTTAATCAATAAAGTCATCTTAGTTGCACCTCATTCTCTTTGATACCATAATTAACATGCCTCTATCTTGGGGGTGGCTACAGCTTATGTGTCCACAATGTGTCTTCTACATAGTGACTTTGTAACAACTTTCAACTTGTTTTTCTGGGCTAACTTCAATGGGGGGTGGGACTGGGAGAGGGATTTAAGTATGGTCAAATAGTACCTTAGCCATATTTTTATCTTTTAATACTTCAGTTGATTTGTCCAGATATTTTTTAAATGTAAAATTTTCCCTTTTATGAAATGTAGTCAAAATTAGGAAGAGTTTATTTATTATCTTACGTTTTTAGAGAATCTAAACTTACCAAGCTATAGCATAATACATTGGCTTAGTAAAGTGTGTGTGTGTGTGTGTGTGTGTGTAAACTGGGAAGTATTGCTTAAATAAAATGGCATTGAATTATGACCAAATTATATCACACAATGCAAGATATTTATAATACAACTAAATATTGTCTCCCTTTTTATAAAGTTTATTAGCTACTACTTAGTGCTCAAATGTTTTTTAACAGTCTCTCACTGCCTGTTCACTCATCACTTTCATTTTCCTTCATCAAACCTTTTAGAACTTAGGAATAAGTATAGAGAGTATTAGAAGAAATAATTATTAATTTGAATTATACAGAAAAATCAATCATGTTGAGTAATGCAATAAGTATTAGTGTTTTTCTATACACGTATTTTTTAATTTAATAAAATACAATTTACAGAAAGGTCTAAAGGAAAAGCATTGCTTTTGTTGAAATATGACCTGTTTTCAAAATGTTTGTTTAGAAATCTAGATTTTTTTTTTAAAATATATATACATGTGTTTCATTGGAAAGACCAAATGAAATAATAGATAGCTATATTTTGGTCTATATTTTTCATGATTCCATAGCCGTGTTTTTTGATAAATAGTGGAAGTATGGAAATGATGAACTTTTATACATGTGATTTCCTTAGGTATAGCATTCTTAATGCCCCCAAATCTACAAATAATGTCATCATGTAGCTGACAGGGTTACACTATTCCACTCTCTCAAGAAAATTATTCATGGAATAGGTATTGTACTGTGACCACGGATGCTTTCTGAGTGCCACTATTCTTCTGTAGAATTTAGGCTTGTCAGTATCCTTTACAATCATACCCTATAGCATAAGCAGATATTCTTACCATCCACTGCGTTGTGGTCAACCAACCTTTGGAAAGCTCAAAATTACTTTTAGTAATTGTTTGGAAGGACTGTGAACTGTATATGTTTTTATAAAATATTTACTGTAGTCTAACTGGAGTCATTTGTTGGTATGATTGAAGTATAAAAATCATTACTTCTTAACCCCAGGATGGGTAGAAAACATCTCTCAATGACATACATACTTATTGTGTTGCCATCAGTTTATAAGAACTAAACCTTTTAAAGGAATTTTATGTCTACTCTTGGCTAGAGAGACAAATGCATAAAATGCATATATATATATATATACACACACACACACACACACACACACACACACACACATATACACACACACACATATATATATATATATATGCGGATATAACAAGGTTTAAGACATGCTCTACCTAATATAAATAAGTGAAAGTCTTATGTAACATGTGGTTGGTGATACTCTCTTGCATTACATATGACTGTTACCAAAGATCAAACCAGAAACCAATTTTGCTATATTGACTATATATGTGTGTATATATATATATGTGTGTGTGTGTATATGTATATGTGTATATATGTGTGTGTATATATAAATACACATATATATACACACATATATATATATACAGTCATCACATATATATACACACATACATATATATACAGTCATCACATATATATATATATATATACACACATATATAGTCAATATAGCAAAATTGGTTTCTGGTTTGATCTTTGGTAACAGTCATATGTAATGCAAGAGTGTATCACCAACCACATGTTACATAAGACTTTCACTTATTTATATTAGGTAGAGCATGTCTTAAACCTTGTTATATCTGCACCTGTGTCATATGAGCTATGCCAAATTTAGGTTCATACACATATATTTCTATTTTTACTGTTTTGTTACAGTCTTTAGAACATTCATTCATATACATTTATTTATTCAGCAAATATTTAGTGAGCCCCTTCTCTGTGTCTGGCATTCTTCTAGGTAAGAGACATGCAACAGCGAATGAACTAGCTTGCTCTTGTGAAGTTGACATTTCAGTAAAGGGAGAAAGATGATACAGGAATGAATAAACAAAATCTCAGATGATTATACAAAAGAAGGAGAGGGATTATCTTGAGGAGTGATTGGTACTGGTATAGGATGATCTGGTAGCACAGTAACTCAGGACGAGGGAGCAGCCAGTGCAGAGGCCCTCAGGTGAACAGTGGCCATTTGAGGAAAAGAAGACAAGGCAGTGCAGCAGGAGCTGTGAAGAGGAGCGGGTGGCGGGACCAAGGATGGCAAGGCAAGTGGGAGCCATGTGGTTTAGCTTCTTGTGGACCATGGTAAACAACTCCGCTTGATTTTATGGTCTTGGAAGACTTCAGAAGGTTTTAAGGAGGGAGTGGAGATGGAAGAAGCACTTGGCTGTGTGGATGTTTTCAGAACTTCCTTTAGTGTCATGGTTTTCTTTCCTGGAACTGTATCTGTAAATCCATGACACCTAGAGTTCCTTTATTTAAAGTATAGTGCATCAGTTAGCTTTTGCGGTAGTGCTCAGAACAGTCATCATTAATTTAGCTCGCAGTTCTACAGTTTGACAATTTGGGCGGGGCTCAGCCAGGTAGTTCTTCTGATTGTACTGTGCTTGTTTCTCCTACCTCAATTAGCTCCTGACCAGCTAAGTTGTTCTGCTTCTCGGGCTGTTGGCTTGACTGGCTCTTGGCTAAGGCAATGTGGTACAGGACCATGTGTTACCAAGCTAGTCTAGGCATGTTCATGTGGTGGTTGGTTGAGTTTCAGGAGAATGATGAGAAGAATTGCCTCTTGAGTCCTAGACTTGGAAGTGGCCCACAGCATGATTGCTGTTGCAGCAGTCTCTTGACCCGGGTAAATCACAAATCTAGCCCAGATTGTGGGGTAGAGAATTAGACTCCACCTTGGATGGAAGAGGCTGTTAACACCTCATTGCATAATGGTGGCTGTTTTTGCACACTCTAGATCTCTCCGTCTCTGAGTCATACCAAGAGTTCAAGATTGGTTCATACCAGGTGTCCTCATTGCTTTATAAATCCGACATAGAGGTATCCTCATTGAGTTAGAGAACGTAATTGGAAATAAGGGTGTGACCACAGGGCCAACTGACTTTGTTTTTTATTTAACAGCCTTGGCTAGAAAGACAAACTAGCATCCTGCTGAAGGCGATGATGTGAGCATATTGCATATCACTTGTGAAAAGTGTAATTATAACATCACATTGTCTGTCCTGAAATCATGTTGCACAGTATTAAAAGAAATGCTTTTTGATTGCATAGATGTACTTTTTCAGTGTTATCAATATTTATTGGGTCTCCATATAGAGACAAGGTTTTAGTTCATTTTCAATACATTCAGAGGATGGCCGCTGTTCTCGGCAGCACGAGGCAGCCTGTGTATTCTTTCCATTGCCAGCTAACAGTACACTGAGCGATTTCAGCAAGCCGTGTCCTTGAGCTGTCATGTGGTTTGTCCATGCTAATGAGGAGACCGAGGAGAATTAATAAGTAAAAGAGGAATGCTGGCAGTGGCTTATGGTGTTTTTCTTTTTTAAGAGTTCTGCATTTTTAATGGATTAAAATCCCAAAAAGTTAGTAAAGTAATAACAAAGAAAAACATAGAACAACTTCTTTTCCGGATAAAATTAAAACCTTCCAATGCATATGCTTGTCCTGTAATTTAAATTGTCATTATTCCTGGAACCTAGTTTTGGAGAGCAGTTTATTTCTTAGTGTCTACTTTTCCTTAATGTAGGTAAAAGTATGATTAATGGAATAGGTTGTAGGTGATATATTGGTCTTCTTGCCCCAGTCAAGGCAGACACAGCAAACATTGTAAGTAGAATAATATTTTTATCCCCTGGATGCCAATATAGGCAAAATTATTTTTTCTAAGAGCACCTAATTTTTGGTGATATTCTTGCAGGTAAATATTACTGTGACTGGAAATTCAATTTCTTGTTGATTGTTACTAGCCTCCTCCCCTCACTCTTATTCCCCTTTGGGTGGAACAGCTCACTTGAGTAATTTTGCTTTTCCTATGCTTGCCTAGAATTGGAGACAAAATTTATATCATCTTGATGTTTAATTATGGTAAAGATAGGGTATTTGTAATCACTGGAAAAAATAATGGAATATTCTTCATCACAGTTATTCAAATGGAAAATTAAAATTGAGTCACCCCCTCTTGTTTTAAAATAAATTACAGTTTGATCAAATACTTAAATACAAAAAATAAAGTCAAATTTAAAAACATTTCATTTTGGTTTTCTTTTAATATATTTTTCTTTATTTTTGAGACAGAGTCTCACTCTGTCGCTCAGGCTGGAGTGCAGTGGTGCAATCTCGGCTCACTGTAACCTCTGCCTCCCAGGTTCAAGCAATTCTCCTGCCTCAGCTTGCCCAGTAGCTGGGACTACAGATGGGCACCACCCTACCGAACTAATTTTTGTACCTTTAGTAGAGACGGGGTTTCACCATGTCCAGGTCGGTCTCAAACTCCTGACCTCTAGTGATCCACCCGCCTCAGCCTCTCAAAGTGCTGGGATTACAAGCATGAGCCACTGTGCCCAGCCCAAAATGAATATTTTTTAAAATGCTGCAGTGAGGAAGGCATTTTCCAGCATGGCACAAACTCTAGAAGCTTAGAGGAAACAAATGGATAGATTCAAATATTTAAAATGTCAAATTTTTTGTTTTTAATCTTTTTTGTTAACATTTAACACAGTTGTAAGCATTTTCCCATGTTACAAAGAATTTTTTGAAACCTGAGTTTTTCATAATTATATATTGCTCGATCATGTGAATATACCATACTTTAATCATCTCTCATATTTGCACATTTTTTCTAATTTGTTATTTTAAATAATATATATGCTTAATATATAAATGGTAGATCATAAATTATAACCTTAAGATAGCTCTTTCTAGCAGCTTGATTGCTGGATAAATGGGCATGAGTATGTTTGAGGATATGGATGTGTAATGGAAGATTGTTTTCTGGACAGTCCATTCTTAGCTACAGGCCCACCTTAGATGTTGAGGATCCTGGGTGTCAGACAAACCTGGACCACTATATTTTTAATTTTTGCCACCTTGAAAGGTGTTTATTGACATTTTCATGATTAATTGACATGCAGCAATTGGTAATGTTATTATTGACTTATTTGGTTAACTAATTACTTTTAGCCGGGCGCGGTGGCTCAAGCCTGTAATCCCAGCACTTTGGGAGGCCGAGGCGGGTGGATCACGAGGTCAAGAGATCGAGACCATCCTGGTCAACATGGTGAAACCCCGTCTCTACTAAAAATACAAAAACATTAGCTGGGCATGGTGGTGCGTGCCTGTAATCCAAGCTACTCAGGAGGCTGAGGCAGGAGAATTGCCTGAACCCAGGAGGCGGAGGTTGCGGTGAGCCGAGATCGCGCCATTGCACTCCAGCCTGGGTAACAAGAGCGAAACTCCGTCTTAAAAAAAAAAAAAAAAAAAAAAAAAAACTAATTACTTTTAATTGAACAAGAAGCAAATGTCGTTGGTGAGAAAAGTTCTTACACGGATGTGTTTCTTCAATTTCTTTCCAAAAATATTCTAAGTACATCAAGTATATGACTCACCCCCCAACCTTAAAAAAAAAAAAACAACTGATGATAGCTTACGGAGCACAATCTTTGATTCTTTTTACTTAATAGACATCCTGGAAATCTTTCTTATCTGCACACATAGATTTAGCTCAATTTTTGTAACAGAAGCATAGTCTTCTGTGTTTGGCTATACAGTAATTTACTATAAACACTCCCTTGGTGATGAAAATTTCATTGTGTTCATTTTTCACTGTTCCAAACAACTCCAGCAAACATCCTTTTAAATATTTATACTTCAGGCTCAGTGGAATGGTTGGGGTTAGTCCTTACTTAATAATATACGTGTGCATTTTGATTGAGACTGCCAATTGTACTTTATTCCACTATATGTTTTCATCAGCAGTGCAAGGCTATGATTTGAATAATTACCCAAAGCTGTCTATATGTTGTAATTATTACAATGTCAATGTTTAATCTTTAGTACAATATGACTTTTTATTTGTATTCCATTAATTATGAGTAAGGTTTGTTATACATTGTTTTAAATGGACATTATTTCTCACTTTAGTTCCTCTTTTTGTGACAGTGTAATATTGACATCAGACCTTTTTTAAAAAATTAAATTACAGCATAGTTTTGACATTGCTTTATTTTAATGATAATGCTGCTAGAATTAGTATACTCTTTTCAATGAGTGCTTTACATTGTGAACATCAAAAGGACTTTGAAAGTGAAAGGGAAAGTACAGCCAGTTTTACTTCCAAATTCACGAATTCTCGTTTTCCCAATTTTCTTAGTGGAATGGTTGGAAATTAAGGTGATTTGTGTTATGTTTGGTGGAGGTGGGGTGAAGGGTGGTTGGGAAAGAGATGTCACTTGAAGGTTTTTGTGCCTTAGGAGAGTGAGGACTGTAAATGGCTCAGCTGCTGCTGAACTTCACAGATTGAACTTTCACAGAGCTCTTAGAGGTTCTCTGCAAATGGAATCCTTTTAGGCACTTGTGTTATAAAGTGTTGATTGTAACATTTGAAATAAGTGTGAGTTAATGGAAAGGGCCTTGTCTTTGGCCCTAGGAAAGTTCTGCTTTGTTATCTTAAACCTGCCCCTTCACGCCTCTGTACTTCAGGAACCCTTGCAAACTTCCCTCTCCTGTTGAAGTGAAACATGGGTCTCAAAAGAGTATTCAAATTTGTCTCTGCATTTGTTATAGCATCTGTGTGGAGGAGGCGAACATTGGCTATTATGTCCTAATTTTACATTTGATTAAACCTGTGACTTTTTTCTTATTGCTAATTTTAAGTCTCCCCACATCAAAGTTTAAAAAGAAAAATGACACCATGAGTAATCTCATCTTTTCATTTCTGAATTAGAATTTATTTTTGACTGTATAATGGATACTTAAATACATTTCACTCAGATATGTATTCCTAAGCTAAACTCATTACTTTGATTTTCTTAGGACATTGAGCACAAAACATTGCATTTAATAAATATCTGGAAAGTATTTGTTATGAATGAGTGACGGTATTTCTTTTGAGATTAGTGCAGATAAATGCAGATTCTAGGCAAAGAATTACTATTTTAATATCAACACTGTGTCTTCCCAGCACAGTATCCAGTCTTTCCATTGAGAATTTACTAAATGTTTTCAGTTGTATATTCTTGTTTTAATCAGAGTAACACAGGTCTACTTCTAGTTTATATGTGAGAATGATAAGCATTTTTGGCTTATGAAATATAGTTACTGACTTTTTAAAAATTATTGTTCAAATTTATGACAAAAGGAACAAAAAAAGCTTGGCTGATTTTGGTCGGTAAGTTGAGTGACTACTACCTGGAAATTAAGTGCGAAAGTTGAAATACTCCTTTGCTCCCACTAGAGGGGGATTCTTTCCAACTTAGGTAAAAAGGCTCTTAAACCCAACATGAAAACCTTGTATGACATTGATATTCCCTTCATATTAAATTGAGGATAATCTCGTGTTTTTAAATCAGCTGTTTTTCTGTAGCTGCTGAAATTAAAATCTTACAGAAGTAGAGGATGTAAAGGATACTTGAACGAAGGCACATATGTATTTTAAACAATAGTGCTTTTGAACAAAACATAAATAGTTTTGTAGAACTGCTATAGTTAAGGTTGTTTAAAAGTGTATTACTTAAGAGTTTCAAAACAGTTCTCTTAGCCCTGCCGGAGATAGAATCTGGGGTGAAGGGTACCCTGTTGGGGTCTCCCTCCCTCCTCCCACCCCCACCGTCTGTCACTGTCTCTGTCTGCTGAAATAGCCATGGAGAGAGTTCTAAATTTCACTCAAAAGCTTTGATTTGCTCTCACCTCAAGTTGTCAAATATATTAAAGCCTTATCTTTAAATAGAGTTCTGTTTGCTATTGAATTTTCTTGTTTCATTCATTGACTTTTTATAATATGATAAAATATACAGAACTCACTCTGAAGATTTTTTCCGCAAAGTTAAACTGCAATATATTTTTAAAATAATTCTATTTATGTTAAAAATAACACATAACGGTTGAGGTATGTGGATATCTATATGTGTAATTCACCAGCAAATGTCATATGATGTTCACAATATTTAAGATTCAGCAAATTTCCTGTTCACGCTTTTCCTTTAACTAAAGTCTCCAATGTTGATTACAGGTTTTAATTTAAAAAATAGTTGAGGTTAGTAACCTAGCGTTATGAAAGTCATAGCTTGGGAAATTCAAACATATAATCTCTTTTCCTTTTCTTAAATGAAAAATCTATAATAAGGCCTTGTTTCTAAATCTAACAGTTAGCCTTGGAAATTAAAATGTAAACAGAAATGCTGTCAGTGAAACTTAAAATGATTTTCTACTGTACTTGATCCAACATTTCAGTCTTTAGCCTAAAATCACATTTGGTATCAGCAACATATGGCTTTTATGAAAACGAGGCTGCTCATCTTCTCCATCCCTAATGGTGGTGTCTTTCTTTTGCTTTCTGCACCATCCTCTGCCAATGCCCGGGGGTGGTCAGTGAGCCCGGCTTTCAGTTAAGCAGTTGGAGAAGAATTTGCTTCCTTGTTTATTTTTGTGACCCCTTTGCTTTCATACTGGGTGAAAGTCTTACTGTCACGGTCTTCCTTTCATATTTTCTTTCCACAAGGGAAGAATCCAATTTTGTTTTATAGCAGGATACATTAGATAGGCGTATATGCCTTCTACTTAAACACCTGCTACACATGCCTAATTTTAAAAGGTTTAAATCTGATGGTGAAGCCTGTTACAGTCTGATACTGCCCACCCACCCCGTCTTCCTCTTTAAAAATACTCAGCTGTATTCTGTTGCCTTCTTTCCTTGTTCTTTTCCATCAAGTATTGGTACTTTGCAAT